GGTTAAACATCCGACTTTGGCTCACATCAGGATCTCAGGGTTTGTGAGTTCGAGCCCCGCATCGGGCTCTGTGCTGACAGCTCAGAGTCTGGAGTCTGCTTCAGATTCAGTGTCTCTCTCTGACCCTCCCCTCCTCACACTCTGTCTCTCTCTCAAAAATAAATAAACACTTTAAAAAAAGATATTTTTTTAACATTTATTTATTTTTGAAAGAGAGAGAATGAGCAGAGGAAGGACAGAGGATCTGAATTGTGCTGATCGCAGATGTGGGGCTCCAACCCATGAACCGTGAGATCATGACCTGAGCTTAAGTGACTGAGCCAACCAGGCGCCCCAGAATTTCATTCCTTTTTAAGGCTCAATAGTATTTCACTGTGTGTATATACACCAAATTTGTTTATCTGTTCTTCTGTTGATGTACATTTGGGTTGTTCCCACTTTTTGTCTATTGTGAAAAATACAGCTATGAACATGGGTATGAGTATCTATCTGAGTCCCTGCTTTTAATTCTTTTAATATAGGGGCGCCTGGGTGGCACAGTCGGTTAAGCGTCCGACTTCAACCAGGTCACGATCTCACGGTCCGTGAGTTCGAGCCCCGCGTCGGGCTCTGGGCTGATGGCTCAGAGCCTGGAGCCTGTTTCCGATTCTGTGTCTCCCTCTCTCTCTGCCCCTCCCCCGTTCATGCTCTGTCTCTCTCTGTCCCAAAAATAAATAAACGTTGAAAAAAAAAATTTTAATTCTTTTAATATATACCTAGGAGTAGAATTGCTGGATCATGTGCTTATTTTGGATCATATGATAATTTTAATTATTCAAGGAATCACCAAACTTTCTATGGTGTCTATACCATTTTACATTCCTGTCAGTGCATGCAAGGGTAGCTCAACATTTCTTAAAGTTCCTTGCATTTCAATTACAAATAATGCCTCTCCCCCTTGAATACTTGAATATAATTTTTAAAAAGTATCAACATTTTCCCAGCTTGATTGCTCAATATTTAGTGAAGTTGGCCATGATATATAATAAATCATATGTTGAAAATCAACCTATTACCTATGTGATCCATGTTCATCTCAATAAAACAAAATCAGGCTCCAAGTGTTAGGGGTACCGAAAATCCACATCAGTGAGAAGTCAGTCCGCTTTTTAAAGCCCCACTGACAGAATTTTCACTGCATGGGATACTCATGAAGTCATACAACACTGCACTTGGCAACCTAAGCAAACATTGGAAGTCTGTGTGCAGTGTTCTGCAAAATGAATTAATAAATAAAGCCAAAGCTCATCTCAGCTAAATATGAGGGTTAATTAAAGTGACCAGACCTAACATTGACTCAAAATAGCCAACTGATACTATACCATGAAGATCTGCACTTGTTTGAACGCAGAATAGATTGGTAACCTGCATTGGTTGTGACCATCTGCTCTAAATCCTATACTTAGTGATTTGTCAGTCTCTCGACTCAAGGCTTAGGTGATGGCAAGCTTTGATGGAGAAAATAATCAGACATTGGTAGCTGAGAAATTGGAGGTCAGGAAAGCCATTCCCACTCTCTTATCACTCAGGGCAAAGTACACACCACTAGATTGTGTTGGAAAATGGCAGATCAGAAACTAAGAAACCCTGTGTTGTAGTCTTACTTACTCAGAACTTGCTTTTGTCACTTAAGTCTATTTGTTTTTCTCACAAGAAATCATGGTTATTAAGTTGCATGAGTTGTACTTAATTTTGTAGTAACTTCTAGGTTCTTTCAAATATTACAAAATGGAATCTCTTTTCTCTTAATCCCATGATTGTAGGGGCGCCTCAGTAAAGTGTCAGACACTTGATTTCAGCTCAAGTCGTGGCTCTGCATCAGGCTCCACGCTGACAGTGTGGAGCCTGTTTGGAATTCTCCCTCTCTCCCTCTCTGTCTCTGCACCCCTCTCCCCTGCTAAGGCTTGCATGTGCACTCTCTCTCCAAATAACTAAATAAACTTAAAAATTTTTTTTGAAATCGAATGATTGTAGAACTAAAAGAGAACATCAGAGAAAAAAATTGAGTCTAACTACATTATTTCATAGATAAACTAAGGCTCAAAGAGATAAAATTACTTCATTCACACTACACAGGAAGTTAGAACTTGACTTGAGCTGAAGTTTAACTGTCTACACTGC